AGCGTATCGTGAATCATGAAGACCCTCCTGCCGCTCACGCTCGAAATCGTACCCGTTCCACTCCCAATCGCGCGATTCCGGTCGCGCGTAAGTACCTTGTGCGTTGGCTTGGACTCCCTCCTGAAGATGATACGTGGGAGCCACGTGCCACCCTTCTTCAAGATGTCCTTGACATGTATTTACTACTTCCTCCGTCCGAAAATAAAAGACCAGCCCCATCAACGTCCATAGAAGCCATTAACACGGACGGTAGGAAAACGAAAACGCTGTCCAGAGCGCTGAAATGAAGCTGCTTGAATGCTAATAAATTCAAAAAATTAATTAGATATTTACATCTAATTGTAACATTGCTTGTTCTTAGCAAAGTAGAACCAATTTTCATCCAGGTGCACATATTGTCAAACTGCAGGCCATTTCTCGCCGTCTCCTGGACAAATCCAGAGGTAAAACGAACTCTAGCAATTTTCTGCTCGTCACTTTGCACGGGTTTCAGGCATGCTGTGTGGCATCTAAATAACCCCGAGAGAAAGTAGTCGTGTAGAGTAGACTTAGGTATACCAAGGGATTCAGCTAAAGTACGAATGTTGGTTCTGTCTTCGAGCGGAGTAAGCGCGATGGCGTGGTTGAGGTCGAGGAGGAACTCCCCCCGTTAATCTCGATTTGCGACCGCTTCTTCCCTTCCTGCCGCTATCGTAGTTGATAGGTTAGCTTCACGAAGATCCTGGTGACTCGCTGCCATAACCGCGTGATCTGGCGTTCACTACAGCCAAAAACGGACTGCACAGACCACGATCTCTGCTTTGGGCTGCTGCAGTTCCACGGTCGAGCGCAGTAGAGCTGCTACGACATCAACACGCTATTTTGACGTGAGGTTCCTCCTTTTACTGCGCACGCTGTCGGAGTTGGGGCTCATCTGGGCTTTTTGTGAAGGAAAAAAGCAAAAATGAGAAATGAGGCCGTATTTTGGTGACCGTAGCTCGTCAACCACTCATTCAAACTGAGCGCGAAAACCACCAAATGAACCGCTGTGTTTTGTTGCTATTTAGGGTCCAATTAATCACGAATTAATTTCACTTTGACGCTAAAGCGATTTTTTTTTTCAAATCCATGCCTTATATTACCAGACGGAGGAAGTAGATCGTCTTCGACTTAGCTGGGAATGCGCTTCTTTCATCCAGCAAAAAACTACTAGAAATAGACATGAGAGATCCCGTGGGTAGTCGAATGTACTTAGTACATCATAAGTATATCTTAGTAGAATCATTGGTTTGGCAGGCTCCACCAAGATATTAGCGGACCAATGGACAACATGTTCTAGAACTATGGCAAACAAGGAATATATAAAAGAGAAAACAGAAACCGGCTACATTTAGCGACGCTGTTGGAAACCGACAGTCCAACACGTTTTGACATGCAGCATAAGTCGCAAACTTCATTCCAGGCGCCAACCCTGGGTGGTAATATTACGAATTAGATTGCAGGAAGCATTACAAACCTATTTGATCGGGTATAAAATGAAAGTTTCCAGTTTTTCAGTTGAATATGTACAGTACTGGTGTATATTCTAGCAAGCTCTCGTGAGTAGGTCACGTGCCGAATCACCCGCAAATGAAGCGGGGCATATATCAAATCGCGTGATTTTAGAGACATTAGATTCAAAGAAAAAAATGAAATCTCAACTTGGCGTTTGCAATCTAGCTAGTTCGGTGATCCTGCGGCGAGTGCAAGCAGATCATACTTTAAGGTAGCCTTGTATTCATCTTTAAGTGTATATGCTTGCTTCACAGGCTTCAACGGCTCGCGGTGCGGTACAATCTGTAAGTGTTAAACTGGGACAAACTGACAGCACAAATGCAATGATGAACGAATTCCGCAAAACATCTATTTGTTAGCTTTTCTCAAGGTACTTCCTCTTAGAGATTTGATGATCTGCGTTTAGGCTGCCTTCCGGTCTAGTTTATACTATTTTAATTCGGTGGCGTTATTACTATGATGAACTATCCTTTAGAAGCGGTATTGTAGTAACTCTTCTCCTTTTACTCACAAAATGACCCCGCCGGATGCACTGGAGATGTTAAGTCCTCGCGAGTCCACGCAGGTTAGACTTCGACACGCCCACAAAAAGAAAATGCATGACTAGCAATCCTGCGAGAGTTCGCGACCAAAGACCAGTAGCCCTGAACTATACGATACGGACAACCCGCCGCCAAAACATGTTTTAAACATGCTACTTTTGCTGGACGTTCAGCTTACACTTTGAGGCCGGCTAGATGTTGAGCGAGATAACATCGAGCAAGTAACGCAGAACCGTGGAACTACATCGTCTTCGGGAATACATATTCTAGCTCACGTACTTCGTTGTACTGTTTGGCCACTGTTGCCTTGCGGCTACGGGTAGTAAGCTGGTAAAATGACAATGACGGTGAAAGATGCTAGTAAAAAAAAACCTCGATTGTTCGTAAGACCAGCAATTACAATCTAAAGGTCCAAGACAACGCGCCAGAATGCCAACCGCGACATTAACAACAAGGAAGAGGGAGTCGCGGATCAACTGTTTACATTTGACCGTTCCCCAGTAGTCGGAGCGTCCGTCGTGGTTTATAGGGTCCTTGTACCGTGACATTGTGGGGAAATGGCGGTGTAATTGGGTCTACAGTGACCATGTGGTTGAACTCATAGTTGGCCATGACTTTGCGGATCTCGGCACAGTCCTTACCGATGGCCAGCATTAGCTCGTCACAGTTCGCGCCAGGGATAGGAAAATAAAATGTTTAATTTTACGGGGGATCGATCGCCAGCGTAATAACGAGTGCAATACGACATGAAGCAATAATAATAACTTAGCAATACAATGAATATATTGCGACATAAGTTACGCTACGCCCTTGTGGGCTGCTCTCAATTGCTCGTAGTGTCGACGTGAGTGCGAGCGCCCCACATATCGAGGTTAGCACGAAGAAACGTAAGCGTCTCGAAATTAGCATCAGCCAGCCTTCCTCTTTGCGAGGTCAGAATGAGCTTCGTCTGGGAGAACAGACGCTCGCATGCGTTACTTGTCGGCGGAATCTTCGTTAGCAACGAGCTGTAGACCACAGACGACCGACCAGTCTGGAGTGCGGTCCCTTTTTCGTTTCTCGCCAACGGCAGATGATCGGCACGTTACAAATTTTGCAACGACTTTAGCCTCGTGTAGTGGGTCGTGGTTTGAAAGACCAACCGAGCCCACGCAATGCAGTCGAGTGCAACAGTAAAGTTGACCAGCATCATGTGGTTGCAGCCAGCCATGTAGATGTGGCTCAGCGAGAAATGGTGTTGAAGCTGGGCGTCTTTGTTAAGTCAAAGTCGCCTATCAGAACTGCCTGCTGTTATCTACAACTGTTCGTCTACTCAAGCTGGTACATGTTGAAGTATGAGTTGAACACCATCACTAGGACGCTAGTGATGGTAGTGTGGGGAGCAAGTCCAAGTACATGTTTTAGTTTTCTCAGTTTCATTTTTGACAGCTAGTCGACAAGCTCAATACACTCGGCGACAAGACTTTACATGAAGTGCCAGCTTCCTTCGAGTGTCTTTGAACTTTCTTCTGAGCGTGACCTACTACAAAGAATTCTTTAGCAGTGAAAGCCAAAAATGACAAGAGCAACACGCAGCAATCCGATGCCCCGGCAACAACAACGACCGATTCTAATGGAAGTTCAACTGTACCAGTGGCGTTATTCATGCCACTTGCTGCACCCCAGCTGAAGAGCACTTCGCACGCTTCCCTGGTGCAATGGCGAAAGCTTCGACGTGAATACGAGGCTGAGGTGGCGATGCGATGCAATAACGACGCCGACAGGATGGCGGAAGTGTTTGTGAGCGTGAAAAAGTCGTTCGACAACCGACTTCTTGCGGTCTGGTGTGAATTTGACTGGGAAGTCAACATTGATACGGTCAGCGATGAGTTTATACTGACCAAGATCGACGAGATCATCTCGACCGTCAAGAACAACTCTGTTCCTGACGTCGCCGCTTTGTTCAAGGAAAACGTCACGATCGACATGACTGAAAGCGACGTTAAAGAGCGGATCATGCAATTCTTTGCGCGAAGCAGAGAGTTTTTCACTGGGAACGAAGGCATTCGTCTAATATGTAAACTACTGATGAAGTCTTTGCAACCGCGCTGCCTGCGTGACGAAGTGACAACCACAGTGAAATACCAAGCCAGGACAGCCAAAGATAGTGAGAAAGAGTTGTTCAAGCTCATACTTGCCAAAGCCCTTGAGCAGGACCGCGATTTTCAGCGACGCAAGCGATCGCGGACAAGTGACCACAACGACCGCAAGAGGAAGGACTCTACAAACGACAATGACCCGCCTCAACCTCGATTTAAGCACCGGAAAGTGGAGAGAACCGACGGTAAACGGCCAGCAAAAGCTGTAGTTCGTAAGCAAACTACAGAGAAGCAAAAGAGTTCCAAGCCTCCGACAGGTGGTTGCCTTAAGTGCAAAGGTGACCCCTGGCTTACGCGGTGTCCGACTGCTACCGATGATGAGAAGAAGGACCTTTTACGCAAAATACACGAGCGTCGCGACAGCAATAAGGGCATGAAGCCCAATGCTAACGCGTGAAGGTTGAAGCGCATCAAGGACTGTCTCTTGGAACAAGAGAAAACTATCATATTGGAAGGGAGATTGTCCATGCCCTATTGCGCGGATACTGGGGCCGAGAAAAGCATCATCAGTGCTCGCAACCTGATGAAGCTAAAGAAGTTGGGTGGACTTGTGAAAACCACCATGTTGGATAAACCTATTGTCTGCGAGACAGTGGGTAAGCACAGGATTCAGGCAAAGAAGTCTGTGCTGTTACAGATCATGATGCACACTGCGGCTGGGCCTGTGAGGCCAGTTAAACCGTACGAAGTGCTAGTGATCGAAGAGGACGAAAACGAATTTATCGTGGGTGAAGATATTCTCAGTGATTTGGGTATCAGCATTGATAGACAACTAGAGCAGTTGGCAAAGCAAACCTCGACGGACGATGGAGACCCAATAGAGTACAATGAGGGTTTTTGCAGTGGAACCTCACCTGAAAATGAGGTCCGGCAAGCAGTTGAGGGGATGATTGCCAACGCTTTGGAAAACGGATTTCCAGCAGAGAAGGAGGACCGGCTACGTACTATTGTGTACATGTATGATGTATGGAGGCTACATCTTGGGCCTGATCCACCGGCTAAGGTTGATCCTTTAGAGATCCGTCTACGGAAGAATGCGAAACCTTTTCGATGCAAACCAAGAGCATACCCGCCACACATCAGGAAGTTCCTGAAGGAATTCAACGATGAACTAGTCCGTCTCGGGTGGGTGTTCGAGAACGCTTCTAGTCGGTGGGCGTGCCCAGCTTTACCCATTAAGAAGCCAGGCAAGGATGAATTTCGGCAGACAAGTGATTATCGACCAGTTAACGCTGAGACGGAACCCATTGCAGGTGTCATGCCGATCTTGCACGTGATCACAGAACACGTCAAAGGCATGAGTTTCTTTGGACTTTTCGACTTCATCAAAGGGTTCTGGCAGCTACCTCTGGCCAAGGCCAGCCAGGAAATCCTCAGCTACATCACTGACGCCAAGGTGTATACACCTACGCGTGTACCACAGGGATGCAGCGATGCGGCGTTACACTTCCAAGTGACGATGGAACGTTGTTTCGCTAAATTGCTCCACAAACATCTCTTGATATGGATTGACGATCTGCTCTTGTACGCAGAAGACGTGGATACATACTTGGAGAAGTTGAGTGAGCTTTTTACGCTGATGGACGAGTTTGGCCTCAAACTGAGCGCCTCGAAATCGTCTCTTTTCGAACGATCTGTGAAGTGGTGTGGTAAAATTATTGATGGAGATGGCGTGCGCCATGATCCGGAAAGAGTTGTTGCACTGCGAAAAATGCCCCTGCCCTCCAATGCAGGAGAATTGCAGCAGTTTATTTGCGCATGTAATTAGATGCGAGACAGCTTGGTGAGTTATGCTGGTCATGTACACTCACTACAGAAACGGCTCGATGCGACACTGGGAGTTGGGAAACGGACTAAACGTGCAGCAGCAAAGCTAACGGTGACCTTCACAGACGAGGAACGAGCCGCATTTGATAACGTCAAGGACTGTTTAGCTACTACAGCTACATTGGTACTTCCAAGCTCAAAGGGCGTGCTATCAGTGTTCACAGACGCCTCGAACGTAGCATGGAGTGTCATTGTGACGGATGTTGAGACGTGGGAAACGGGCAATCCGATTGCAGATCAGAATCACCGACTGCTACATTGTCTAAGTGGCACGTTCACAGGTTCACAAGAGAATTGGAGCGTGATCGAGAAGGAGGCCTTCGCGATAGTTGCAGCGTGCGACAAATTACCCCACCTCCTCTTACGACCTGCGGGTTTTCGATTACACTGTGATCACCGCAATTTAATCCACGTGTTCGCCCCACACGACATTGTGAAGAAGCACGTGCGTGGGAAGTTGCTTCGATGGGCAATGAGACTTGGAGAATTTAGGTATGAAATACATCACATCGCCGGTGAAGACAATGTTTGGGCAGACATGGTATCACGTTGGGCACGTACGCCAACATGTACCAGTCTACGCAGAGTAACAACACGCAGTCAGCACCAGCATGACCGACTGCTGTTGCGGCCACTTGACCAAGAAGGTTTTATTTGGCCGACACTAGATACTAACGTGGCTGCTCAACGCAAGGTTAGATCCAAGGACGTGCCAGACGGCTTAGTGGAAGGTGATGACGGGGTCCAACGCAAAGACAACCGGTTGTGGATCCCACCATAGGCTACTGAATTACTCCAACGCTTGTGCATTATAGCACATTGTGGCCCCCAAGGCCACCGCGGTAGGGACGCGATGCTGGCCCATTTGGGACGCCTTTTCCACGTGTATCAGTTACGCCAATGCGTAGCCCGATTTCTGACACGATGCTTACTCTGTCATCACGTTAAAGGGGGGAAGATAGTGCCAAGGCCCTGGAGCGAGACCTACCGGACCAACGAGCGAAACCAAGCGCTTCACTGGGATTTCCTATACCTTGGTGAATCATTTGGTGACTTGAAGTATGTATTGGTGCTGAAAGATGATGCAAGTCACTACTGCGAATTGGTTAAGTGTGAGCTACCTACGAGTACCGTTGCGGCTGATGCTATTATGGAGTGGCACAGTCGTTTTGGCATTCCGAAAGATTGGATCAGTGACCAAGGATCTCACTTCAACAATGAAGTGATTGAGGACCTTTGTGCTAGACTCAAGTACAAACAAATCTTCTCGCCAACATACAGCCCATGGATCAATGGGTCTGTCGAACGTGTCAACCGAGATATATTGCAAGTCTTAAGGGTCCTGATACTAGACTACAAGATCAATCATCGTGACTAGCCCAGGCTGATCCCAGTCGTCCAGGCCAGCCTCAACCATACTGCAGTGCCGTCACTAGCCAACAAAACACCGGGCGAGTTGTTCACCGGTCTGGAGCCCCCCCCCCACCTTTGCAAGCGGTATTCCTCGGGCCTGAAGTGGCTCCAAGTGTACAGCAAACTCGTACTTCGGCCGACATTGAAGAAAGCTTGGCCCGATTGCGAGCTAGTGTGAAAGACATGCACAGAGCTGTTACAGACGCTCGTCTCAAGCAGACAATGCTCAACAAGAAAAGGGAACGTGGCGACAACATCGTCAACTTCAACGTGGGCGATTACGTACTGCGATCACGTGTCGATGAGAAGAGACAGACAAAGCTGCTCGTCACTTGGATCGGACCCTACTCGGTCATCACAGCGGAACCACACAACGTGTTTAAGGTCAAGCATCTTGTGACCGGCGAAGAACTTGATGTACATGCTTCGCGGCTAAAGTTCTTCGCTGACAAGGACTTAGAAGTGACTGAGGAACTCCTGGAACACGTGGCTGCTCAGGGCATCATGCTTCGCGTGCGCGAGCTGATACAGCATCGTTGGAATGACCAGAGTCGTTCCTACGAAATCCTTGTTGGGTGGCAAGGTCTGGAAGCAATCGAGGACTCGTGAGAGCCTCTTACATCCCTAAACAGAGACGTGAGTGCGTTAGTGAAAGGATATGTTGCTTCGGCCGAAGACGCTAAGCTTGAGGAACATTTGAAAGCCCTGAAAGCGTAGGCAAAACGGTATTGACCGTGTATATGTGTATACCCTTGGTATAATGACTGTATAGACACCAAATTGAGGTTCTACCTTGATATTGTGATCGTTTTGGTCAGTATCTTGAGTGATATGCATGGTCAAGTCAACTTCAACGGCAACGTGTTGAAGTTGTACTGGTTATGTCATGTATGAGTGATATTTACGTAATCATGATATGAAACGTCACCGAGTGGTGATATACGAAATATAATTCGTACAAGTGTCAATTTTACCGAGTGGTCGGATTGGTCTTGGAAAGGGACTGTAGTGGGTCGTGGTTTGAAAGACCAACCGAGCCCACGCAATGCAGTCGAGTGCGACAGTAAGGTTTACCAGCATCATGTGGTTGCAGTCAGCCATGTAGATGTGGCTCAGCGAGAAGTGGTGTTGAAGCTGAGCGTCTTTTGTTAAGTCAAAGTCGCTTATCAGAACTGCCTGCTGTTATCTACAACAACTGTTCGTCTACTCAAGCTGGTACATGTTGAAGTATGAGTTGAACACCATCAATAGGACGCTAGTGATGGTAGTGTGGGGAGCAAGTCCAAGTACTTTTTTTGGTAGTTTTTTTTGTGTTTTAGTTTTCTCAGTTTCATTTTTGACAGCTAGTCGACAAGCTCAATACACTCGGCGACAAGACTTTACAGGAAGTGCCAGCTTCCTTCGAGTGTCTTTGACCTTTCTTCTGAGCGTGACCTACTACACTCGGCTGCTGTTAGTGCGGAAGAAGCTTTTCCGTACTAAAAGCGTCCTAAACGTCCTAACTTGTCCTAATACCTACTGTCATAAATGACGGTATTGGCACGAACCTTCGGCATCGATTCTAGGACATTTAGGACACGTAGGACAGTGAGGACACGTAGGACAGTGAGGACACGTACGACAGTTAGGACACGTAGGAAACTTATACACTGCCCATGTCAACAAGATATCTCTTATGACTTACTGAATGTCAGAATACCTACTCAAACGCCGTGTATTCCCCAGGAACTTCAACATTCACAGATCGCGCGTGAGCAGGAGCGCTCTGCCGACCATGCTTGATGTCGTCCAGCAGCTTTACGTAAGAATGAGCTTCTTTCTTTGCAGCTTCAATGAAGACGAGGATACTTGGATGCGGCGCACCAATGCGAGCAGCAAAATCGCGATTGTACTTCTCCAGCGGGTTATTAGTCCGATTTGTCATGCTCACATTGTTGCGCCGCATCTGGCTCACGTTCCACAGCGACATGTCGAACCTCTTCGTCCACGTTCGTACAAAGTACTTCCAGAAAGCGGTCCATTTAGTTTTCGTCTCGGTCTCGTCGATGATGCTTCGAACGTACCGTAGCCCCTGCATAAATAAAATAAATAAAAAAGTATTTTTATATAAGTCATATTTTCCGAAAGTAAATACAGAAAAATTACGTACCTTGTCGAGCACTTCTTCGGCAGGAATGACTGTAAGCACGTCCAGCTTTCCAGACTTCATGGCATCCGCGATCTGTTCCTTGGGAATCTTCAGCTCTATCATCTTCCTACGAAGAGCCTGCTTCCAGTGGAAGTGGCAGCCAACGATGTTGGCTGTAGGAAACTGCTCAATCACAGCGTTAATTAACGCAAGCTCAAAGTCACAGGTAACATCGCGAGGCTCCAGCAGGCGGTCGGACGCCATGATGAGCTGCTCTAGTACTCGCCAATACGTTTCTTGGCTTTTCGAGTTGACGAGTACGTAGAGTAGCGGCACGTATACGTCGACACTGGGATCATAGACCATAGCAATAAGGCACTGCGAGAAACCCTTTGGTACCACGGAAAAGGTACCGTCGATAAATAGGGTCAGCTGCGGGTACCGTAGAATCCGCAGTAAGTCCGGATGCCCAAAGCACAGCATGCGCTGTATGCCGGTGGTGGTGGGGTGAGCCATGCTGAATTGTAGGAACGGGCGCGGGTCCGAGTCGCAAATGCTTCGCACCGGTGTAGCCTCAACTGCACGGAAAGTATCGCCACCCGTGGCACCCTGGCGCACGTTTTTAATGATTGTAACACCATTCGGGCGCGCAATACCGTAGATAGTGGACGGGTGATGCTTGGCACGGTTTCATCAAAGACGCGCTGCCACAGAACACCAGGTGCAACAGAGAACTCCTTAATGGCGCGATCTTGGAGCTCCAACGACATGTCGCGGCGAACGTCTGCGACCTCTTCTAAAATGTCTTGGTCGCAGCAGTGGGCATTTCTTTCGATGATAGCGCCCCCCTTCTTGACTACAAGACGTGCTGGACAGCCTGCCCGGAACTTCACGCAGCTGAAATAGGTTGTTCCTGTCTCCACTACGGTGCGCTTCTTACAGAAGCGGTAGTTCTTGTGCTCCATGGACGAAGTTGAGAAGTGTCAACAGATACGT